TATTTAATGTTTATTATATCGTGAAAAAATAACATAACCTCTTAAGAAATTAAAGTTGGCACCGAGGAATTTTAAGAACACTATAACCAACTTAAAATCAACAATGTAATTTGAATAATATAACCTCACTTACGACGAAATGAAGTGAACTTTGAATGAAGATTGTGGAAAATGTAAGGCTTCTTCCGCAAATTTTTTAACTGATAACGTGTAATTAAGGTGTCCTCTATCCATTTCTATCAATTTCATGATCATACCTGGGGAGCTTGTTAGCGCAACGTAACCGGAAATGTAAAAGGTATTTAAATCTTCTATATTTTGGTGCATTCATTCAAAACTTTAATGCAATGCTGCGATTAAAAAGTGGAACAGATTTGGAAGCATACCCTAAATTACGCGCGTTTGTGAAAGCTTCAACCAAAGGATAGGTACAAAAGCCAAAGAAATGTTCCGCATTTACAGAAAGCGACCTAAGAGGATTGTTTATTTCGTCCAGATGACAGTTTCAAAAGTCATACTTGAAGTATCGTTATTTAGCAACTTTAAAGCACGTGTGTTTTAAAGGCCCTTTTTCGCACGCATTTGAGTGTTTAAAACGGAGATTGTGATTCAGGTATAATAAAAAAGTGATTTCTGGTTGGTATTTACCTATCTTTCTGGGCGGTAACACGTACTGTTACCAATTTTATTAATATCTTTTAATTTATAAGTTTGCGTAATTAGAGTGATAATACTAACTGTACATCTCTTTTACGTGCAAATAATGTGTATAAACTTGGAAAAAACAAGAACTAGAAAATCGTTATACATGTAAGTACATAACATTTATTTACTTATTGAACGCTCTTGCCTTTCCTAAATTAGAAATGCGTAATTTGTCATTTTGTAGGAGTAGTTTTGCAACATTGCATCTTATCTTATTATTTTTCTCTATCGCTCCTTCAAATCGCTAGGAAAACTTAATTAATAAATCAAAATCAAAGTCTGCATAAGAAATAATTAAATTAATTCAGTTAAATCGACGAAGCTGCAAAAATAATCGACGAATGTTCTTTTGGCATTCCTAACGCAATCTGATAAAGTATTCATCCGATTTTGATCAAATTTGAGATATGGTAAATTTGAAATGCATAATTTGTCATTTTTAAGTTTTGCAATACGGCATCTTTCTCTCATCTTATCTACTTATTGAATGCTTTGCATTTGCTTTGTTCGCACTCACCTCATAGATTGCAATAATAGTGAACCATACAAGATTGCGATTTTTTTTCTTCGGAGAAATCCCAAGGCCACGATCTTGTGAATCCAAGGTTATGACTCCAAATCGAACAATAATTACTTATAGTCCAGGCTATATAATATTTTTTTTACAAAAAAATTAGTTACCGGTTCAAACCGGGCTTTTTCATGCTGGTGAAATGATTAGAAATTGGGGAAAAATAATTAAAACAGCTGAATTTTTCCGTGGGTGAAATCACGGGGGTTGAAAGGAGTGGAAACTGGTATTTTGCAATTTGGTACAAAACTATTAATTTTTGGGCGAAAATGTTCAATATAAAAGTTATAGAGAATAAAAGAAAGAACAACTTTTGTATCTGGACTATTTACACATAACCTCCAATGTTCGTAGAAAAACTGGAAAACCCTTTTTTTTATTTTTATTCTTATTTTTGCGAAACAAAGTCGTAGAGGTTTGAAATTTGGAGCTTGTTTTATGATAAAAAAGGAGACAATTTTTGGGCCCGTAAAGTTGAACCGTTTCCGAGATCTCACGATTTCTGAAAAAAACGCATCTTTTTCAAGTGGATGAAAAATCTATTTTTTTTTCATCGTATAGAGTTGCGCGGGGTAGCAAAATTTTCGGGAAGACTTATATTTTATAAACAAAAATAAAAAAATATTATTTCTATAGCAAAAATGCGAGAAAATCGCCAACAACTCGAAAAACAGTTTTAAGATATACACAGTTTTTGACATGATAAATCAACGTGTTGGATGTTAATAAAAATTTTTTCGAAATCTGTTTTCTTGCTTCACTTTAATGTTTGCTTAAATATTCTCTTTTGTAATCTTATGCTCAACTGTTTTAGTTAAAACATCTTTATTATTTCTTTTTTCTGCATTTTTACCGCAATAAAAGCTATTCGAAATAAAATTGAACTTGCTTCCTGATTCCTGAACAATTTGTTTTTGTTTACTGACTCTTCTTCCTGCCTCTTTTATATCTAATGCAATTGCGTTGGGCCTGTTGATAAACTTGCAAAATCTGCAATAAGAACGTTAGTTTTACCGGCCAAAGCCGAAATGTAAAACATGGAATAAACTTCGTGAGGATGTTTTTCATAATTCCTGTAAATTACCGATCAACAGGTCCAGCGTAATCGCATCAGCTATAAAACAGGCAGGAAGAAGAATCACTGAACAAAAACAAATTGTTTAGGAAGCAAAAAAATTCGATTTTACCTCGAATTGCTTTTATTGCGGTAAAAATGCAGAAAAAACTAAAAAGAAATAATGAAGATATTTTAATTAAGGCAGCTGGGCACTAGGAAAAAAAAGAAAATATTTTAGCAATATTAACGAGGAGAGTTCTAGAAGACAGATTTCAAAAACTGTTTATTAGCGCGGATCCAATACGTTAATTTAGTTGCAAAAACAGCTATTTACCTACTATGTCAAAAACAGTGTATATCTGAAAACTGTTCCCCCAGTTTTTGCCGCTTTTCTTAAAATTTTTCTATTGGAATAATATTTTTGATTATTAAAATGTAAGTCCTTACGGAAATTTAGCTACCCCGCGCACCTCTGTAGGTACGATGAAAAAAATAGATTTTACATCCCCTTGAAAAAGAGGTGGTTTTTTTCAGAAATCGTGAGATCTTGGAAACGGTTCAACCTTAAAGGCCCAAAAAAATTATCTCTTTTTTTATCATAAAACAAGCTATGTTTCCTCCAAATTCAAACCCTTACGACTTTTTGCCGGGATTTCACCCACGGAAAAATTCAGCTGTTTTAATTATTTTTTCCCAATTTGTAATCATTTCACCTGCCTGAAAAACCCGGTTTCGCCCGGTAACTAATTTTTTTTGAAAATATAATTTATTTTAATTTAAAACGCATTTCACAAATAATTTCAATAACAATATTCAAAGAAAACAAAAAATCTCTTCTAGCTGTACAGAATTGCTTAAAGTTCCCATAATGCAACTTGCGTTCCCTCTTTGAATTGCAATACTAATTTTCTGTTTTAGGAATAATGTTGAACGACTGTCGCAGGTTTTAAGTTTAATTAACGCTCCTATGGCTTCAATGAATGATATTGCTTCATCACACCATGATCCAAGAGTTTCGACAGCAAAGGGAACGAATAAGTAATTATCTGTGACAAGGTCCTTATATTTGTTTACTTTTCTTTTAGCAGCTTGTTTTGCAATTGTACCAGCTTCTTTGGAAGAGGAGTGAATATACGATGGTGCAAACGTGCAAGAGTGGCTGGTACTGTAGCATCCCAGATCAGGATTTTTCCTTTACTCCATGGAATAAAAGTTGAACCATCTACTCATCTACCATCACTTCTACAGAGACCTGGGGGTTCTAAAATAGAAGGAATGTTGGCGGATTGCAAACTTCGGCATATAATGTTATTTAATTCATTATGTCTTGCGTGTCTTCCGTTGCTTTTCTTACAACTAAGTCCATGAATCCCATTCTTAGATACTGGTGCACCGCAGATGCATTGGTGTTCACGGCAAATGTCACATCCTATCCTCAGGGCAATTGAGATTATTATATTTAAATAAATTATTTTAACCGGTACTATTAGTACATATATTACATAACTAGCACTATTTTTCTTACGACTTCCACCAGAAGACGAAGTGATATTCATATTATACCATATCTTCACCTGATATTGAATTTTGAAAAGTACAATTTTGACTTGAGTAAGTATAACGATTTGGTGGCACGTGCCGTGTCGAAACACTTTTAAGGAATTGACGTAAGCTTATCGCTTACCTTATATCAATTTTGAAGTACGAACACTGAAAATGACGTATTACCTTTGAATAAATATTCAAAGCTATTACTAAATAAGAGCAACCACTTGACATGTAGGTACATTTTTAAAAGCAGGTGGGGCGGTGCTATCACATTGTGGATATACAAACGAAGAATAAATACCTACAATGTGTCTAATCTTTTTTTTGTGGTCCTCTGTGGCAGTAGTGGCCCCCTCCACCTGAAAATTCGAATTCTTCTATTGTCCTTAAGTATCTACAAATGGAGAAATTACATAAAAAATAGAACAAACTAGTGGATATATACCAAACGATCCGAACCTATAAAGAGGGGGTTTTACATTTATGGCAACTGTCACTTTGGATCGCTTTCTCTATTGAAGATGTTCAAACAAATAACGCACGAGGTAAAGAAATAAGTATAAATATGTACTTAAATAAATGCAAAAGAAAAAGGTGTTCCGCGCCTTAATATATTAAAAAATAATTAAAATAATAGGGGTTTAGTAACTGAATTTTACTTTCTCTACCTTTACTTCATTTGCCATGCCATACGAGTTGGCACAAATGACGAAAAAATTTGGTAACAATCTTGACCTATTCTACTGATATTTTTAATATCACAACGCACTAATTTATTGGAATATTAATATACCTATCTGAATGTTTGCATAATTACGCTATTGTTAAAGATAATTTACGACAACAATCAGGTTGTAAACACACTTGTACCGTGGAAAAATGGTTCCCACCTTATGCAAGAGCGGTAGCTTTTTAATTAGATGGGAATTTGCTCAAACCATAATCGGTAAACAATTGAAGAAGTGTTAAGGAAATTTCATACAGACGAAGAGAATTTATTAAGTGCAGTGCATGGTATAAGAAGGGGTGGGGGAACATTCCATGGAATGGCGCGGAGCGTCAAGGTCCCCTATATGTTGCTCTCACCGGTCGAAGTATTGCATCTCTCGGTATATATCTTTCTCTTTCCTCTTGAGTAGAACGGCACAAGAAAACGGTCCAGTCCGGCAAGAAGGTGATATCAACGTGTGACTACGTGAAAGTATCTGTGCGTGTCGTTGGCTTTATTAATTGTAATACGCGAATTTTTACCAGTTTACTTATGCGCACATGTTGGCCGATGTTAAAGCAACCTTATAATTTAAAATTCATTACTTTATGACTGCATACGTTTCTTGTCAGTTACAAAGTTGCTGTTACGTGCGGTAGTTGTAATTAAAAAAGTTTACCATTTGAATTTTTTGTGCCATGAACTTTCAAAGGATTTTCCTTCAGTTCGTTTACTTATGTTAAGTGACTTGACGTGCAGTAGTTAACGACGAGGTGCGAATTCGAAAACGAGAAATACATTTGTGGAGATTTTAACAGTGGACCACACAGGAAACCCGTAGGTACCTATGCTATTCGACAATATTTTGTGTTTTTCTAGGACTACCCATAGTTAGGGATTTTCAATGGCAACCGTTGACCTGATACTGAAACGGTAAATCTACCTGTGATGAATACAGAGTAAAAATTCTCAAGTCGAATCTTCTCCAATTGGGCGCTATTGTGCCGAACCGAGATTAAAGAGCGTTTGCCAAATTTATGTAGACATTCCGATCCAGAGATTTTTCGAAGTGGGCATGGAACCAAAAAAAGTTAATTATAGATGCCTACTCGAGTTAGACCAGTTTGATGTCTGACTATTAACATTCATTCATAAATCCTTGTTTTTGTTGGGGTTTCGTTAATTAATTAATACAACTTTAATTGCCGTTTTGCTACCATTTCAGTTTGGTTAGAGCTTTTGGATGCACGTTCTTTGAATAACATTAATTGTTCAAGTTGCCATTTTTTATTTTCTCGAGATTATTTATGATCACTATAGCCTTATAACCGCAATCTCAACAACCTCAGGTTAATTTAGCATTGCCATATATTACCGATAATAAGTATGCACGCTTGTGTCAACTTGGAATAACACATTATACAAATAATTTATCCATTGACTGGCAAATTCACGATGGATTGACGGCATGTAAGGCTCAAGACAATAGTTGTTAGTGTTCCCATCGCTTTTATGACAATATTTTCCGTTCACTTCTGTTGCAGTTAGTTTATTCTCTCAATAACTGGTTCTATTTCCGCTCAGAACTTTTTGTAGGATGGCCTTTTGTACGAGGTTAACGTTAAAGTATTTCTAACTTTATTTTCTTTGGGGACTCTTGACATCCTGCAACTGTTAAAGTTTTAACAAGTTTATTATATGCATATAACATTAAAACTGCGGTAGGTTGTTTAAACTGGTATATCCGTTACCATTGAAATGGTCTAGGAAATGGTATTTTCGAGGTATATGCATTACTCCAAGTCTATGATTCCTATTCGCGAAACTACAAAATATCTGACGGGAAACTGCAGTTTGAACCATTCAAAACTAAAGAAATAATCCCATTTTGTTTTGAACCAAAGCGATGAAAGCAAGTTTAAGGGTAGGTCGGGGTAGCTCTTGCTAAAGGATTGAATAACATTTCAAATGATGTTCAAACAAATTAATAACGGATTAATAACAAATATAGGATCAGAAAATATTTTCGTTTCGACCACTGAATAGTGTTTTGGTTTGTTCTCCTATTTTAGAATATGTGGTCCTAGCGAGGGTCCTAGCGAACTGAAACAGAGAACCCAGAGAGCTGATCACGTAATTGAATGTGAAAGCTGCATGCATAATAATAATTTAATTCATTCCAAGGGGGTAACATACGTGGTATTATTTCATAGACGTGGTTGGTATTCATTTAGTAATTATTATACTTTGGTATTCTTTAGTATTGTTTCGTAGCCTCTGGTATACCTACTTTTGTATTTTTGTATTCTGTAGTATTCTAAGAAATTTTCTGACATTATTGAGTGTTTTTTGTACTTTCCAATAATAATCGAGATTTTGTTTGATTCGGATTCCTGGTGCTTCAAACCGTGTACTTCCGTCAAAAAAGTGGGGGGGGGGGGGTCAAATTTTACCCCTATTCAATACTAACGTGCGAGTGTTAAACAAGTATACATTGTGCACAACTCTTGTGCATGAGATAAATCCATTTTTTAAACCGAAATAGCTTAGTAAATGATTGCAAGGTAATAGCATGCTATATTTATCTATCTTCCCTTCCTTGAAATAATTAATGTGGAGGGGGTTGTTTATACATAAACATTTAAAGTTGGCATACATTGAAAATCTACGCTATATCATGCAAGAAGAATCAAGCAAGTACATTCCCCCGAGACACCGTTTTCGAGATATTTGCTCTTAATAAGTTTTGCAATCACTAATAGATATGTTGCTTCCAGACGTTTCAATCGCCCTTTTGTGAGTACCCTCCTCCGACAATCAATTCTTGAGACGTAAAGAATTATTTATATCCGATCACGATAAGGGGTCGAGGAGGAGGCCTATGGTTGGTAGAAATCTTGGTAGAAATTATTTCCTTTTGTTGAGACCTTTCATTAGAAGGGCGGTGTTGGTGGAAAACCGTTCCTTTATATCTACTTTCAAAAGACAAAACCTCTTCTCAAGGGCACCTAATTTTAGGCATCCAAAATAACTTTTAAACTCTTTTTAAAAGGAGTAAACATCTAAACACGAGTCTAAACAACATTTAAAGATCGCCTGGCATACATTCAAAATCTATGCTATATGTATAATGCAAGAAGAAGCAAGCCCTAAGAGACATCTCCAACATATTGTTTTTCCCTTTGTAGGTATTTTCCTCCAACATTTTTGAGATATCCGTAATTAAGTTTTTACACCGGCAGAAGATAGGTCTCGTTTAGACGATCTTTCCTCCCTTTGCGAGCACCCTCCTCTGACACTCCGTTGTACATCACCATTAGATGTGTCTCGTTCAGACGCTCCACTTGCCCCTTATGAGTATCCACTTCCGACACTTGGTTTTCAGGTATTCGCTTCGATTTCACCAAAAGATATGTCTCGTCCAGACAATTCATTTTGCCTTTGTAAGTACTCTTCTCTAACACAGTTTTCCAGACATTCGCTTTTAAAATTTTGACATCACCAATGAATACTTCCAGACGTCCCAATCGCCCTTTTGAGTACCTTTCTCCAACAATCCGCTCTTCAGATCTAACGAATTCTAACTGATCACGATAAGGGGTCGAGGAGGAGGAGTATGGTTCGTTGAAATTAATTCTTTTCATCGAGACCTTTCATTAGAGTACCATGAAGGATAAAGCGAGTGTGTGTGAGGGTGCCTCGGTATGTGCGTATGCAAAATTTGGACAAAGTTATCCACGTTTTACTTTCAAAAACAGCATCTTGGGATAATTCGTGCCCCCCCCCCCCCCATAAAACAACAAAATTTTTGATGCTCGTCTGGCACACGTTCAAGGTATAGGCTACCTATTGCATTCCCCTAAAAGTAGTTCAACACAGCAGAAGTGGATCCGGACCGACGGACAAAACGCAAACATTATCACATTTTTCTTTAATTCTTAAAAAAATGTCGATAAGATGGTTCTTATTTGTTTCGTAGGTCATGGGAGTAGTACCTGGTCGTATACATAATTACTGGTAGGGGAAGGAGAGTACACCAAGTATTGCCCATTTCGGCAGTAAGTGTACAAAAGTTTGCTCAGTGCGATAAATCCTAACAAATAATTTTACCCAAAATCGTCCTGAAAACCTTCATTTTCATGCCTACTTTCTGTCAAGACATTTTAGTTTCCATGACACAGGCAGAGCAGACTACGTTTCCTGCTGCTTGTCACTTTACTGGCCGCACCTGTCACTTTACTGACAGATTGACATTAAGCAAAATTTATATGAAAATTGAAATTTTATATTATAATACGGTTTCGGTCAAAATTTAATACAAAACTCGTCAGTAAAGTGACATTAGTTGACTCGGGAATTAAAGTACTTAGCCCGAAAGGGGCCTCGTACTTCAATAATTGTCTCGCCAGTAATGTCATTTTCTCACTTTTATGTAAATAACTATCCCTGGATTCGCACTAAATACAGCACTCTCTGCGGTCGTGGAGCAAACCAAGTGCTCATGCGGGAAAACTTACCGAACTTGTTAGGTAAATTACTGCTTATAGGTAAATTTTTTGGATATAGCAGCATAAAAACTTATTATATTACATAAGTAAGCAAATTTAAGAGAAAAATTCAATCTAAGGAAAATAGTGTTCTAATTGATTTCATAAATTTCTTTTTGTTTTTTATGTTGCGATATTAAAAAAAGTTTATTCGTTAAAAATATATAACAAAAATAGTGCTTTCCAAAAAAACAGTGTTCTAAAAGTACGTAGGTTGGTAGCAAACTTTTTATATTTTTGTATGTATATACAGCTTGTTTTAGACAAAATTTTCATCCTGTATATTACATTCAATAAACAATACCATTTTTTTTAAATATAAAGAGAAACTCCTTAAATTGCAAAATGGTCGGAGAACAATCAATTGACAGAATTATTATGACATTCTTTGTAGCAACGGAAATAGGACCTTGTTTTTCTTTACCAATAATAACATACTCTTTGCTTCTAAATTGTCAAAATAGGTGGCATTTTGACATCGTTGACGTTGAAATTTTGCACAAAATTTTCAAAAATTTTCCCGCCCTTTCCTCATCGTGGGGGGTACTCGTTATAACGGCGTTCTACATTAATATAAATATATTTGCCTCCTCCCAAACATTACCCACGTACCGCCCTGCATGGGTGCTTTTATATCTTTTCCCTTTACGCTTCCTTTAGCTTTAGACTTTATTCACACATTATTAACACCTCTTTATTACGTCCTTCATTTCATCACGTAAGGTGTGTTGTATTCAAACATAATTCACCATTTGGTCGCACACTTTTACATTCTCCCCATTTCTTCGCGTTTCCTTCCTTTTCGCGCCTCCTGCTGCCTCTTCAATTTTCTTGATGTAAATTCACACCCTTCAAAATTCCTTGACACATTTTCCTGCTCACCTGAAACATCTATTTTACTGCTTCACGTCCTCTTTCACACTCTTTTCCTTTACACATTGTTTCTTTATCCCCCGTGTTCATACCTCTTTATGCCCCTTTCCACTGTTTCTTCACGTATGCTTTCTTCCTCAATTTTTCACGCTTCCTTCTAATACCTTCAATCCTTTCAAGCTTATTTTCTCACTACTTCATTTTTCACTATATTTTCTTCATTCCTTCTCTTGTCCCATTTTTCTTTGCGACTTTTTGACATTTCTTTTGTACCGCGTTCATCTCATCTCCTTTACTTCTTTATCTAGCCTGTACGGTCCCCCTTCCTCAACGCCTACTTCCTTCAATTTTGTCCCTTCGTGTTTTACCTATTCCCTTACTTTTCATTACGCTGTCTCTTTTAACTTATTCGCGCCTCCTTCGCTGACTGCTCGGAAAAACGATGCGCGCCAGAAAATACGGAGACGAGCACAAGAATTTTTTTAAAAATTTCCGCAAGAATAGAATCAGTATTGCTGAATGATACGTTATAATTCATCGTTCCAGAAGAGAAAGAGTTCACTTCTCAAAAAGTGAGTTAGTGTTAGAGTATTTGCAATTACTGCAGGAACTGTTCATATCTTCTCGTATGAATGAAATTGAAGAACCTTCCATTCAAATGTCTAGTTCTCCTTTCTTCTTATTTGTTTCTCTACAAAAGATAAATGCAATGAGTAGTGAGGAGAAATATTCAAATTTGATAGTAATAAACATTAACATACCTTTAATTTGAAACTTATATTAAATATGTTGTGTCTTCCTTTTGCAGGGACAACACTTCCTCTTCTGAACATGTAGCAACAACGATGTCCTCACCTTCGCCGGTATCTCAAATACCTACAGAACACACATACCAGCCAAGCGATAGCAGCGACCACGTTCTCATTTCACATAATAACTGCCAGTGCACTGAAGTCCTTAACAAGGACTCCCCTAAATGCGATCCTAATGTATGCCATTCGTTTCCACAAAATAAGTGCAAGTCAAACCATCACCACAATCTAATCAACCTGTCTACTCATGGACCTGCCAATACAACACATTCGCATTCAACAAACCAATCCGTGCACGTTCACGTCCATTCGCCTCCTGGCTCCACCCTCTCCAAGCAGCCACCTCAAACGGCATGCAACTGTCACAGTCCACTCGAAAACGAAAGCAACGCGGACGTACATCAGACAATTCAATCGAATAGGAAAATTGAGGCGGATGATCGGATCGAAGTTTCGCCACTACCACCAGCACTGCCTCCACGACCCCCTCCGAGACCAAGAACCGACGTGCATGGCACGCTTAATTCCAGATCGAGAATACGTCCACGTAAGTAGTAGATCTTAATAATGATGTAACCAACGATTCCTGGTATTTTGGTTACGCTGTGATTCTTTTATCAGACGTTTGGATAGAAATTTTTCCTTGCCAAATTTGGTTAATTTGCCTGAAATTGGGTGTATCGACCTCTAGCCAATTTCTAATTATCCCGTTCGTAGAAATTCACATACGGGTGTATGTACCTATGTAAGCCTCGATGTAAGCGGTTAGTTATATTTACAAGGGTCGAAGACCTCACTTACATAAAATAAAATTGAACCTCTACGGCACTGGTAAACATTTTAAGATTACATTAATTTTTGTTTTACCCACGGCTAGCTCAGTAATAAAGATCGTTTTTATACTCTTTGAGGAAGTTTGGCCCCTTATCTCCACTGCAAACCTGAAATTCAAAATCGAATGGTCTGGTTTGATTGAACTCTAATAAATACGCATGTGAATTTAGTTGATTGAAATACAAACCTCCGAATGCTAAACAAAATTTTAATCCAATCAAAGGACTAGGATAGTAGTAAATTTTTTAGCAATGAAACAAAATAGTCAAAATCTTTTATTTGAATTTGATTTTTTTCAATAAATGTAATATAAAATCTGTTTCATGCAAGCAGTTTTCACGGGTCGACTCCTTTAAGAATATTAAAGTTTCTACGAAAAAAATTTCTGATGCAAATTCCTAAATTCAACCGGCCACTACTTATACAATTCAAAAAAATTGGCCTGGGTAATATTCTGTTCTGGTAGCAAATTAACCTTGTCTCTCCTTGGGAAATGAAACAGATCGATTCGATAGTACAGTTAACCTTTTGCATCATCTTAACGTTGCAAGGTTGAGTGGAAGAAATGTTGGCATGAATCGCGAATCCCAGCAAACCGTCTTCAATTTCGCCAAAGCAATCCTCGAGATCGTGATTATGCACCGGAATAAATAAGCTAATGCGCCGTTGTGTTAATATTAAGGTTGCCCAATTTATTAACTAGGTCTCGTCGCTGCATGTAAAGTGTATCGATTAATTGTCTTTAAATTCCTTGGCGTATGCAAAATTATTGCACACTTTGATCACCCATTTTCAAGATCCTCGCACAACAACACATATCATTTGCTACATTATGTCCTATTTGCAGAATGTTATTTCCTGTATCATTTAACGGTATCATCGTATTGTAAAACAGGTGACGCTCTTCCTCCTGCAGCAGGCATATTCTTGTGTCTTTATACCATCATTTCGCAATTTTGAAAATCTTGATATTCGTCATATGTCATGTATAACTACCGCTTTACGGTATTTTATGTACGACGGATATTATGTTGCTTGTTTATTTCAAATAGAATTCTAAGAAATAACAACTTACACAATACCCTAGGGATTAGCCTTCTGGGATAAAACGTTACGTTATATAGAAGCATTCCGAGGAAAATTCACGGTCTACGTCACATAATCACATGAGAAATTTTAAATTCTACCGGCCTCAGCCGCACCGAATGGCTGACAGATTAGTGCCACTATTACACCTCGGAGTAAAACGGCCTAACACAAACAACCTATGTATAACTATCATTACACCTTGTATATTTAATTTTAAATATACCGACACAGAAAATTCAATTTGATCTCATTGGTACAAAAGGGCCGACCAGTTAACGACATTGGCACTGGTACAAAAGCACCCATCACAAATACCTGGTATATAACTATCATTACACCCTGTATATTTAACATGATATCCAACCTCAGTAAAAAAATTCAAATTCCCCGCACAAATTCTGGGAGGAAGTTGCTGGATTCGGAAGGGAGGGGAACCACATGTTTTGTTTTGCGGACCTCCATGAAATATACTTAGGAGCTAATTACTAATAGGAACAAATGTGTTCCACGTACTTACGTAATAAGAGAATATCTTAGAGTATCTTAGGTGGACATTCTTTGAGTGATTATTCAAATGATTTTAAAATAACTACTTCGCAGCCCCCCTTGTAGGCGGCCTTTGTAGGATTACTTTTCGATCTTCATTTTATATTTTGGGCATTTCAATTTTTCTTTCTCAAAGGTTAAAAGTGTGTTATTTGCAACATATTTCCCGTTTTGTGTGATCTCTGGACTCTGAGACACTCTGCACTATCTATACTAAATAGTCCTACGTATAGAAAGTGAGTCTTACAATACTCTTGCTTTGAGCCATGTCATTTATGACAAGCGGCAGATTTATCTACACGCGAAGCTGTTGAATTAATACTTCTACAAATTGTACTGTGCAGCCGTGCGTGTAATTAACCGTCGGCGTAGACAGTCAATTACTACTTTAGTTGGAAGGATGGGGGAGAGAAAGAGTTATTAAAAAAAATGCGGAGTGTGATAAAGAAAAACTCGCACAATTGAAACTGTAGGTTTAGGGAATGAAAATATCGACTATTAGAGAGAAACGCGACGGCAGGCGTCACCATGACGTCACGTGACGACGCCAGGGTGGAATTTAGATCGCGACGTTATTGGTTTAATTTTAAAGTAATTTTATTGCCATTTCCGTCATTTACTGAAACATACCATACTACTAGCAAATACACACTTAGGTTTTTCAGTTGTTTGGAGGATTTCTACTTTTAAGGGCGACGGGCGACACACTTAGGCTCTGGAGTCGGAAGGCTCGTTTTTTCTGTGTACCGCTCTGAACTGGAACGTGAGTGTTCCCTTCGCGCTTAAATGCATCTCGTACAACAGAGTCATAAGTGACGGGTTCTGTGGCGTATAATGTTTAATGTCTTCATTAGCCGGTCTATCGCTATGGCCGCATTAGTCGGTCATTTCGATTATAGTGCAATTCTACAAGTCACGAAATCCCAAAAAGTTGGGGGTGAATAATAATTAGAGTGCATTTTAATAAGGGGAAACATTTGTTTTACTGTGTATGATCAAACAGATCGACTTTCACTAAAATGCATGGATATCCTGTAATGCAAGTTGTGCAGTATCATGTACCACATCCGATACAGCCATTACCACCTTATCCATTACCACATGGTAGGTTTGCTTGTTGTATTATGATATTTAATGCTGCCTTTTTGGAAGAATACCTGTAACTCTTTTGTGTATTTCAGTGCAGTAGATTGAATCATGTACTAGTTCTTTCTAATATTCCAAACGGCCAGCAACCAACATGATTAATTCAGAAACAGGATGAAAATTTATTATGCATAGAATCGTTAACGCATCTGCTAAGAGGCAAAGTGTTAAGGGCGTCCCAAAACGTTACTTTTTTGTGGTTCTTTTGACTGTATGATGTTTATTTTTGATCAAAATGTAAATTTCGTTGGGAAAACAGTAAAATTCGTTCCCTCAACTGAAAAAATAAACGCGTAAGAAACTGCATTTATTACAAATTTTAGTAGGGAAAGTAGTTTGCATGTGATTGACATAGTAGTATTAGGCTGTTAATATAATAATAGTTCCTCCAAAATAAGGTATTTATAAAATTGACAACCTCTTGGATGACGCTCCATTATTATTAACGAGCTCCTAGCGAATTCATAGTTTTGCGGTGTCTGTCGGTCTGTCCGTTAGCAAGATATAGCGAAAACGATTACGATGAAATTTTGCACGTGGATTCTTTAACGAATTTGGAGATCGAAGAAGATCTTGAAATACCAATGTAGGCCAAAGCATCTCCGTTAGTTATGAACCGAAGTGCATGAAATTCAAAATGACAAATGACAAATAGTTTTCTTCGTCAAAATTCGTTTACAAAATAATTCATTATGTTTGATCGAGTTTGCATGGTTCGAATTTGTTAATGTGATTGAAACCATCCAAACGTCAAACGTAATTTTAAATAATTCCATTCATCGTGAATGAGCACGAAACGAGTACGAAATAAGGCCAATCTTGTGATTTAGTAGGGAGTGATGTGTCGCTTTTGCTAGGTGCGCTACTACAACAAATTGTACCTTTGGCAATCATCTCACTTCAATCACGAAAGGGTGAAATAATTACACTATACAAGATTGGCCTGTCATCAAACTTAACTGAAAATAAATCACGAACTTCGCCGTGTATTATTCGCAGTATAAAACGATTTTACAATAAAGACCTTTCCTTCTGTAGTGTAATTATTATTCATGTTTATTAGAGATGACAGTTAAATCAAAGAATTAGGTGACAAATGCGGTAGGTAAATCATGGCCAACCAATTTTTTACTACCTTTTTGGATTTATTTATTTAACTTTTAAAAAAAGTCTTAGGTAAGCTTTTTTGGTGACACCTAATCCCGATTTTAATTATCTATCCGAGGGTGTTTTTATTTTTTCTTTAGGTTAAAATGGGGAGCAGGAATTGCTGAAAATGTATTTTCCCATGTTATTTCCCTATGTCCCGCCGTCAACTTGCCACACTGTGTAAGAGCTTTAGAGAGATTACGATAGTCCTCTGACGCATGGGTTGTCTGCATCGAGCCTAAATCCCGGTGCCCACATCGGATTTTTTGACGTGCGACGTCGCTTCGGTGCCGACGGTGTCCGTCTGTCCGTGAACACGATAACTGTCAAACGCTTGGACCGATTCGGTTCAAACTTTGCACAGTTGATATACAGGGTGTCCCTAAAAGGTCTGTACAACGCGCTACCAGGGGTTCTTGGTATCAAAATAGGACGATTTAACCCAACTTACCTCTATCCAAAAGTGCTTCGGTAAGGCGCTATCTACCGCCAAAGATTTTAAAAAAAAATCGTTATTTTTATTTTATCGGAAAATGGTTTTGCCGATTAAAATGAAATTCGGGATGTGAATGTCTAATGTAAAAAGGGTCTTTGTGATATCATGGTTTTGATTGTAGTTGCTAAAATACTGGCCATCCACATCTGAAGAGGTCTAAAACTTTTTAACTACTATTTTGACGGTTCTGAATTTTTAGACACTGATAGACAGTTTACTTGCAAGCATTTTTTGTCTCTTGATGAATATCGCTATCTGTGATGGTTTACGAAAAAAAAAAAATTTGG